GAGGGCAGTGTCACTGGCCCTCATATGTGGGATCCGAACCGGGGCCCTCTGGCATACCAAGCGAGTTCTTAACCATCGCGCCACTCGGCCGGCCCTTCCCTCCTTTACTTGAGGTCTTTTCTTGTTTTGCATTTCTTTCCATTCTTTTAAACTCTAATGGCTAGCCTAAAGAATGGTGAGCAGAAAAAATTCCCGAGTTTATTTCTGGTGAGGTACATTTCACCTCATTTTTTATTCCAATACATGTTTAAAGCTGAAAATAATTAGGGAAATAGGAAAGAAAAGTGGTCTCAAATTTTCTTATCAGGAAAAATTAGGAGAATTTTGATACTGATGTACTTTTTAGGCCTTTTTTTAAAACTTCTGAAATACTGCTTATTAGTTGAGGATGTCCTGAATTCATGAAGAGTTGTCACAAATTCCAAGGTGTGTAAGCAGTGGTGTCCTGGTAAGTATATCTGACGCTCAGCTCTTGGGCATGACAGCATTTGCAAAGTATGGTGTGGGTCCCCCAGCAAGCCAGCCTCAGGATGCCAGACAGGGAGCAGGGGTGGGAACACATACACATACTCTGTCAAAGCTGATGAGCCAGCTCCAGGACACCAGGACCAGCAACGCCCCAACTGAGGAAAAGTGCTTCTCCCCAGTGTCCCCACTTACCCACTAATTTACCAAGTATTTAAATGTGGTCAGAGTGCATCTGGTGGCCTTATGGACCATAAATTCTTCAACTCATACATTTATGTCCAGTATCATGTTCCAGATTTTCGTGTCATAACAAGATATATAATTTTAGACTTAGAAAAGATTATTATTATAAAGCATACTTATGTTCTTCAAAAATAGTATAATTAGTTAAGATGAAAGTAGCTTAAACCAGACAATGTATAGTTTAACAGCAATTAAGTTTATAATGTTTCAGCCTCAGATAAAACATAAAGCAAAAGAAAACGGGAAGATATTGGGGGGAAATGGGGCGGCGGATTGGGGGAGGGGAGTTATCACTTTCGAGGGGTAAAAAGCATAACTATTGCACTGTGTTGTACAGCTGAAACTAATTCTAAAAAATGTGTATTTCATAATAAAACATAATTTAATTTAAAAAAGAAAAGAAAACGGGAAGGAGCAAGTTGGTAATGTTCTTATACCATATTTCCTACTTCCCTAATTCATTGTACACTCATTCGCAAGTAAATCATTCTTTTAACAATCCTAATAAGAAAAAATTGAATGTCATCACAGTACAGTACAATATAACTCAGTAAAACAAAGGATGAAGCATATCAGTAGAAGATTTTGTTGCTCTATCAATCCAAACTTGAAATGCTCCAAGTTCTAGATAAAATTCTCCTTTGACCCCAAACAATGCACAGCACTGATAAATCTGTGTACGGAATACATTCAGACCCTTACCTCCCAAACAGATAGAAGCCTAAGCCCATCTCCCCTCCCTGCCTCTCAGGCCGAGGGGACATGTGTAGAATCTGAAGCAAGTAATTGTTAACAGTGGCAGCTTTTCTCCCGCTGAGCTGGAATGTACCTCTTTTTCACCCCATGTGTATTTCCATTAAATTGTGACGTGACAGATAGCACAGATCTTTTCACATGTGGAAAGGTTGATAACGGGATCTGCATCATGTTAAAGCTCATGGAGATAATAAGACTTTTCACATGATTTAGGTTATAAATAAATCAAGTGCAGCATTTCTGGGTCCTTGTTCAAAGAAAATATTTTTTAATCTGATATTCTTTCAACTTGTACCTTTCATAGGAAGCTGATGATGACAGTTTGATCAAAGTGCCATGTGTTTTTATAAAAAAAAAAGAATGTTGAGTCACATAGACATATGTTATTGTCCAAAAGATTATAAATATTTTTAGGTAAATCTAAGCTTTTGATGCAAAGCCATTGATTACATTGATCAAACTTTGGTACCTGAAAAATGTTAGGAACCTTTCATTATGATTGATATCTAAAGTAGTATCCCAACTGAATTTTAAGTTTCTCTGATTACTGATAATTTTTCTACATTGGAAAGTAATTGTTTTCCATGCAATTTTATTTTCTATGGCTATATGACAGCAACATTTTCATAATGTTTTAAGTCTAAGTTCATCAGAAGGTGGGTTGCCAAGTATAATTTGCAAAACAAACCGAGTGTAGGGAGTCACATTGAAGCAGGTGTTGTACTTAACCATCGACTCTGCACCCTCCCATTCCCACAATGCTTTGCAGGGCTCTCAGGCTTGGTGCATGCAGGTTGGCAGGTCGCCCACTCACATCCCAGGAGGCCGGCCACTCAGCAGGTGATGCTGAAGGTGCTTTGCAGTCCCTGTTACAGTATTACTGTTGAATGCCACTGGTTACTTCTATTAACTTTGTACTTTATTTAGATTTATGGAAAATCTACAAACAGAGGTCCAAGAAATGGAATTCCTTCAGTTTTCTAAAGGTTTGAGTTTCATGAGAAAAGAAGACTTTGCAGAGTGGCTCCTTTTTTTCACTAACACTGAAAATAAAGACATTTATTGGAAAAATGTGAGAGAGAAGTTGTCAGCAGGAGAGGTTCGTATGCCTTTCTGTTACACTTGTGATGAACATGAAATAATAAATTAGACATACCTGTGTAATTAAATAAAGTGACTTGCAAATTAACCAACACTAAGCTGCCCTCTATTATTTAAGTATAAAATCAAGTTGAGGTATGTTCTCCACATACTGTTTTCTTACGAGTGATATACTGCTTAAGATAAAATCAGTATATCAACCGTGAGTTTGGCATTTCCAGTAAAGTCAGGAATAAGGTAGAAGTGTCCACTCTCACTGCTGTCACTTTCTGTTGTTCTGGACATCTCAGCCAGTGCAAGTTAACAAAATAAAAGAATATTAAAACGTGAAAGCAGGTGACAGTTGTCTTTGTTTGCATATAATGTGATTATACGCTTAAAGAACATAATCGAATTGAAAACCATTAGAAACAATAAACATTAAATAAACTACCTGTTACAATGCTATTATTGAGAAGTAGCTTTCAAAATTTCAGGTCAAAATGCAGTAGCATATATGTGTGTTTATATGTGAATTACATGAAATGATGATTGCCCAACTATTAATAATGATTAATGTACAGTGGTGAGATTTCAAGTGATTTTTAGTTTATGTATTGGTTTTACTACATCGTTCTAAAAATTTTTTTTTAATGGGCATGTATTTTTTTTTTTAAGATTTTTATTGGGGAATTGGGGGATGGGAACAGCGCTGTGGAATCAGGGGAAAGGGAACAGACAAGTTGCTGTCCTTTTGTTCTTCAGTCTAGTTGTGGAAGACGTTGCTTCACTGGCCCAAGTTGGCACCATCATTGCGCTCTTCCCGGGCGAGGCAGATCAGTCACCGGCTTCTGGACGGCTGCTCACGGGGGCTGCTGGCCGCTCACGCTGGCTGCTGCTACACACGGTAGCCCATGGCAATCCACTGCAGCAGTGGCTGCAGCCTACGCCATCACCGGCGACTCACGGCAGCCCAGCTCCAGGTTGAGCTGTTGTTCAGCATCTTAGCTGTAGAGGGCAGTGTCACTGGCCCTCATATGTGGGATCCGAACCGGGGCCCTCTGGCATCCCAAGCCAGCTCTTAACCAATGCGCCACTCGGTCGGCCCTGGGCATGTATTTTTATATAATTTTAAAACCTATTTCTTAGTGAGGAAAAGGATAAAACATAATGAACTTTCCATTTATAATTGCAATAGAAATATATAACAATTAGAAATAAATTTAACAAGAAATATATGAGAAAAAAACTTAAAAATCTTGATGGTTTTAAAAGAAAACTTATCTGATTTGGACAGACATTCCCTGTGATTGAGTAGAAGTTTTTAGCATTATAAACACAGCAGCTCTCCCTTAAGGTGGGATGGTCATAGCAGTCAGGTGCAAGCTACCCTGAAATCCCTGTGGCCAACATGAAGACATCTTTGTCAACCATGCCACCTCTCCATTGCGGGTGGGGAGACCACCCACGTGTTTGCTGAGAGACCCAGGCTTTTCGAGGCTCTGCCACCTTGGAGCTCCACCATCTGAAAAAGAACACCACCCTCAGAGGCTTGGGAAGGAAAAGGAATGAGTGAGCCACGTCCCAGCACTTACGAGGTGTTATCAAACAATACAGTGAATGTTTAAATAAAGAAAAAATTATTACAGTAAATGACACATTGCTATTAATCCCCCTCAAAATACTCCCCCTCTCTTCAAACACACTTATTCCATTGTTCTTGCCACTTTCTGAAGCAGTTCTGGGAGTCCTCTTTGGTGAGTGTCTTTAGTTGTGCTGTCGTGGCTGCCTCGATGTCCTGAATCCATTTAAAATGTTTACATTTCATGGTTATTTTGACTTGGGGGAAGAGCCAGAAATCGCACGGTGCCAGATACGGTGAATATGGTGGATGAGGACACACTGTAATGTTTCTATTTGACAGAAATTGCCATACCAGAAGCGATGTATACACAGAGCTTTGTCATGATGGAGGACGATTTATGGCACACCTTTCAACTGTAGCTTGACTGACTGCACCGAACATGTTCAGATTTGTCATACACAGTTACTAAGGTTTGACGTGCCACTTTCTGTATTGAAAATCCCTGCCTTTCCATTGGATGGCACTTGGCAGCAGCATTCACCATATTTGTTGAAAAGCTCCGTGTCACACATCGTTTCTGGTACAGCAGTTTGTGTGAAATGAAAGCATTATGGTGTGTCCTCATCCATGTTATTCACTGGATCTAGCACCGTATGACTTCTGGCTCTTCCCCAAAGTCAAAATGATCATGAAAGGTAAAATTTTTGAATCAACTCAGGACATCAAGGCAGCCACAAGAGTTCAACTAGAGAGACTCACAAAAGAGGACTTCCGGAACTGCTTCAGAAAGTGGCAAGAACGATGAGTGTGTTCAAAGCAAGGGACAGTGTTTTGAGGGGAATTAATAGCAATGTGTCTTTTACTGAATTTTTAAAAAATTTAAACACACAATAGTTTTTTATCACACCTCATAATTGTTTTGTCCTGGAAATGTCAGGATCCTTGGCTACTGACCAGAGTGATCGCAAGACCCTACCTACATATATGTAAACTCATATTACAAATTGGATGGGTCAAAAAATAATTATTAATAAATGGCATTAGGAGAAGCCACTGGCCATCTGAGAGAGAAAATGAAGGTAAGTCTCTACCTCACTCATCACTGTAAAAATAAATGCCAGATGGATCAAAGAATTAAATGTTAACGAGAAAAAGGAAATTGAGTAAGTACAGAAGAAAACTTGGAAACAGTCATCTTAGAGTGGGGCATACATCTCTCTCTGAGCAAAACCCAGAAGCTTTTAAGAAAACTTTATAAAGTTACTACCTAAAAATTAAGGTCTGTTGCATGCCCTCTTCCTCCCCCAAATTATAATCGAAGCTATAAGAAAATGGCAGAAAATATTGGCATCACATGTAATAGACCAATCTTTAATTTGTAATGGGGTCTTAAAAAATCAAGAACTTTGAGGGGTCTGACATTCTACTCTATTTAATCCCTATTTAATGTATAAATACATAATAAATGGCAGAACTGGAATTTCAGCATAGGTCCATGTAACTCCAAAACCCAGTGCCCTCACTCTGTGCTGTGCCCACTGATGAAACTAACCAGAAAAGCAAGGAGGGAGGCCTCTTAACAGGATGTATCAGTCTCCTCAGGCTGCCATAACAGAATACCACAGATGGTCTAAACCCACAAATTTATGTGCTCACAGTTCTGGAGTCTAGAAGTCCGAGATCATGTGCCAGCAGGGTTGGTGTCTGGTGACACCACTCCCACTCCCAGCTGGCAGATAGCCTCCTCCTCGCGGTCTCCTCACAGGACCTCTTCTGTGCTCACGCCCGAGTATGGGAGCTCTGGGGTCCCTTCTTCTGATCAGGGCACCAGGCCTGGGGATCAGGGCCCAGCCTTATGATCTCCTTCAGCCTTAATTACCTCCTTAAAGGCCCATCTCCAAATACAGCACACTATGGGGGTAAGTCTTCCACACAGGAATTTTGAGGCGACACAGTTGAGTCCATTACACAGGGCCAGTCCAGGTCTTACACTGCACAACTCCAGGAGACCCATTTCCCACAGCACGCCATTCGCAACCATCACAGTGGCTGCCGGTTAATCTCCTGGGGTTCTTCTTAATCTCTAAAGTTATATTTTTATTCTGCACCTCAAACTTTTAAATCTTTTTAATAGACTTGCTTAGAAAGAAGTTCATGACCTTTATTATAGACAAGAGGACTCACACTTATATTTCTAAGATTATTTAATGTACTTACAAAATCGGGCTTTTGTTGTTTTAGAGCATTAGTTTGGACGAGTTCAAGTCATTTTGTCATTTTGCAACCCACTTGGAAGACTTCACTATTGCCATGCAGATGTTCAGTTTAGCTCATCGCCCTGTCCGATTAGGTAAGTTCTATGAATTGTTTAGTTTGTATCATCTTTTATCACTCTATTCTTCAACTGGTTGATACCAACCAAGGAGTCAGTTATCAGTAAAACAATGAACTGGTCTTTCAATTAATTCATCATGGTTATTCTGGATTTACAACGCCAACATTCACATTTAACAGTTTTCTGTTTGTTTTTCCTTTCTTATTGGGTTGTCGGAAAAGTCATGACGTATTTTGTCTATATTTTTAAAAGGTCATTTATATAAAGAACAAAGATCAATCAATGATATATTGCCTGTTTTGTTCGATAACCTTTGGCCATCTTTCAGTGAACTTAATAATTCCTCGTTCGTAGAAGGACCTGTCTTTGTTTGCGAAAAACTGAACAAGGTGCTCATTTACAGCCTCATCTGAATTGAACGTTCTACCACACAAGGAGTTTTGAAGAGAATGAAACAAGTGGAAGCCTGACGGCACAAGGTCAGGCAAGTATGGTGGGTGTGGCAACATCCCATTCAAGCTCCAATAATTTTTGACAGGTGATCAAACTTGTGTGTGGTCCCGCATTGTCACAATGGAACACAACTCCTTTACAATTAACAAGCTCTGGACATTTCTAGATGATGGAGCCATTCAAACTGTCCCACTGCCAACAGTACATATTTGAATTGATTATTTGGTTCCTTGGTAGGAGCTCAAAAAACATGTCACCTTTAAAATCCCACCACACAGAGCATAACCTTCCTCTGATGAATGTCTGCTTTCAATGTCATTTGAGGCAAATCATCATGCCGGGACCAAGACCATTTGCGCATCACATTGTTGTAAACAATCCACTTCTCATCACCAGTTATCAGTCGCTTCAAAAAAGGATCATCTTCCTCACGTTTAATGAGCATGTTGCAGATGTTTATACATGCCGTCAAATGAACTTTGAGTTCATGCGGAACCCAAATATCGAGCTTGCTTACGTATCCCAGCTTCTTCAGATGGTCATGAATGCTTGAATGATGGATGTTCAATGTTTCTGCAATCTCTCGTGTCGTGTAACATGGGTTGACTTGATCAATGCCTTTATTTTGTCGTCATCAACCTCGGTGGGCCTCCCTGGTTGAGGAGCGTTGTTGAGATCAAAATCACCAGCATGGAATTTTGTGAACCATTGTTGGCACTGCCGTTCTTGTAGAGCATTGTCACCATAAGCTTTATGCAACTTTTCACAAGCTTGACGTGCTTTCTTCCCTTTATGGATGTAAAACAGTAAAATATGGCAAAAATGCACAGTTTGGTCTTCCACCTTCATTTTGTAAAATCTCCAAAACTCAACCAAATTGCTCAATTTTTTTTTCAGAATGAAGCTAGAACTGTCACCTGTCAAATGACATAGCAATAACAGATGCAGATGACTCTAGTACTTCCACAAATGAACTAGTGCCATCTGTCGGAAACATGCGTCATGACTTTTCCGACAACCCAATATTTTGCCCCTGAGAAGAAGTTTGAAAGGTTAATTAGATTAAGATAGCTGCTTGTCGAGTCCCACAAGACAAGAGCAGTGGGAAACGAGAAGGGGTGGCGAAGGGTTGAGAAAGAGACAGTAGCCAAGAGTTAAATGAAAGCGGGCCAGGGGACTCAAGTCTCTCTAGGATTGAGGCCTGAATCAGGCCAATGTGTAGCTTTTATTGATACCTCAACCAGGAAGTGGGATTGTTTTTTCCACGGTCTGTGAGTCTCATGCCTGAGAACTTGCTTAAGGCAGATTACACATGCCTGCAAGCTGCCATTACCGGAAGTCCCATTGGGTTCCAACAAATGCTATGCCTTCGAGCACACACACTTATGACCCTGGGAGATAAAGTCGTTATGCTAAAAACTCACTAATAAAGATTCATCTCTAAACCTACTGATAAGGGGATTGGGAGTCAACTGATATCATTCCATCAGGTCCCAGCTTTCCAGGATGCCCCCTGAGGAAGCTTTACAGGAATCATTCCTCCCGGTCTCATGGGGTTTGAGACACCTCTCTTTTAGGAATCGGCATGGGGGAACTGACGGCTAGGCAGCTGTGGCAGCATCTCCCCCTTTCTGTTTTTGTAGTATGAAAAACACAGACTTCGCAGATGTTTCATTCACTGCCTGTCAGAGGGCTTTTTGTCCACATCTGAGGACTAAACAGAATAAACAGAGAACAATAAACAGAATTGCCATTGTACCCGCAAACCCTCCAACCAAAGTCTTTATCCAATGAACGGGATTTAAAGTAGAGAGTCCTTTCACAGTCACAGAGAATGTCTTCTCTCCAGGGAGGAGCTGGAGTTTGGTGTTAGACATCTGATCCACTTCTTGAATAGAATGGAATGTCAACATGAACACCAACATACTGGTCTAAGATTTGGGGATTTTTTCATCATTAATCTTTTCTCAGCCATCTATACTGTCTCCTCCGCTAGTTGTTTTTCTTCTTTTGGCTGCTGGTCAGGTCGATTTTTGGTGGGCTGTTGTTCATGGTAAGGTTTGACACATCGACCAGGTACCCACAAAGGACGTTCTTCTGGGCCTGGAGAAATATAAGCAAAACCTCGTCCCCATGTTAGTAAGGTTCCTAGATGCCATTGATGATCATTGATTAGTTTGAATATCTTTCCACCAAATTGGAACATTTTCCAAAGGTTTCAGGCTTTGAGAATTAGTAAAATGTCTTTCTGCGGCAGTACATCCAGGTGTGGTTCATTACTTGAACCCAAGAAATTTTAAAAATTCAGAGTAAACATAGCTTTTGCCAATTGTACCTGCGGGGGATCCTTACTGTCTCCCCCTTTTTGTTTTTGAAGTTGTCTTTTTAAAGTGGCATTAGCACATTCAACAATGGCTTGGCCTTGTGGATTGTAAGGAATTCCTGTGGTATGATTAATTTTCCACAGTTTACAGAAGTTAGCAAACTTTGTGCTAATAATAAGCAGAGCCATTGTTCGTTTTAATCACTTGAGGGAACCCCATGATTGAAAAACAGACAAGCAGATGGCGGCAGTTGCTACAAGGAATGTGCCGCCGCTTCTTCTGTTTGGGCAGTTGCTATAAGAAAGCCCGAGGCAGTATCAACAAAAGACGTGCACAAATGATAAATGTCCAAAGGTCGGGATGTGAGTTACATCCATTTGCCAGATAGTATTGGGGACTAAACCCCTAGGATTGACCCCTTCAGGGCACTCCTGCAGTGCGTTAATAATTTGGCAAGTAGGACAAGTTTGGACAGTCTGTCGAGCTTGTTTATAAGTAATGAATGGGAAATCGGGCTCAGAGACCACCAGCATTGATATGAGTTAAAGAATGAAACTGTATTACCTCAGCAACATGAACGCTCCCTACTAAGGAATCAGGAAGAGCATTGCCTTGGGTCATAGGACCAGGTAATGAAGTATGCGCATGAATGTGCGTAATAAAAAATGGATGTTGGCGATGTCTTACAACCTGTTGAAGTTGGGTAAACAAAATCTGTAGAGACGGATTAGAATTATGAGAAGGGATGCCATCTAAATGTTTTGAACAGTATGGACAACATAAGCAGAATCAGAAACAATATTTAAAGGACCAGAAAAATTATTTAAAGCAGTTAAGACAGCCACCAGTTCAGCTTTTTGTGCTGAAGTGCAGTTAGAGCAGATAAGTTGTTGGCCTTTGGTACTAACAACTGCTGCTTTACCATTGCTAGAGCCATCAGTAAAAACTGTGACACCTTGAGGAATAGGCTCCTGTTGGAGTTTTTTAGGTAGACTCTAATTTGTCTTTTGAAGAAACAAATAATTTATTTTTAGGGTAATGATTATCAATAGTGCCATAAAAATTACTGATAGCAATTTGCCAAGATTCAGAATGAACATTCAAATGAGCAATTTGTTGTTTCTTAAAAGGTACTACTATTTTATTAGGTTCCTGTCCATTTAAGTGGAGAACTCTAGTGCGAGCCCACGATATGAGTTCTGAAATTAATTCCACATAACTTGAGAGTGACTTAATAAGGTTGTTAGGCAAGAAAAGCCACTCTACCAGGTCATTTTGCTGAACAATTACCCGCCGTAGGCAAGTGTGGAGTAGGAAAAATTAAAATTTGTAAAGGTTGAGAAGGATCTATATGCTGAATTTGTACTTCTTGAATCTTTTGTTTTACTAATTCTAATTCCTTACTAGCCTGAGGGGTTAGATTGAGAGGACTATCTAGTTGAGGTGGTTGTAGTAAAAGACTGACTAGATTACTGAGGGCTTAGGTGGGAATGCCCAAAGTAGGGCATAGCCAATTAATATCTCCTAAAAGTTTTTGTAGATCATCTAAGGTGGAGATTTTATCTCTTCTTATTTGAACTTTCTGAGGTCAAATAGTCTGTCTATCCACAATAGTCCCTAAATATTGTACTGGTGTTGTGGTTTGAATTTTATCTGGAGCAATATAAAGTCCTGCTGAGTCGAATTGTTTTTTAAATGACTCAAAGCATGCTGCTAAATTTTCTATGGAAGGTGCAGCACAGAGAAGATCATCCACGTAATGAGTGATATAGCAATCTGGAAATTCAGTTCTTACAGGGAGAACAGCTCTGGCTACAAAAAGCTGACATATGGTAGGGCTATTAAGCATTCCCTGAGGCAGAACTTTCCATTGATATCCCCTCATAGGTTCTTTATTATTAGTTGAAGGAATAGAAAATGCAAATCGAGGACAATCTTGAGGATGCAAAGGGATTGTATAGAAACAATCCTGTAGATCAACTACTATTGAAAGCCAATTTTTTAGAATCATGGACGTTGTGGCGGTCCAGGCTTTAAAGCACCCATGGGCTCAATGAGAGCATTAACTGCTCAATCAGTGAGCATTCACCATTTCCCTGACTTTTTTTTTTTAAGCTGAGCCATCCTGCCACCTGTTGGCAGCTCAGCAGCTGCTCAGCTCAGGCTGGGAATCGAACCGCTGTTTCTCAGAGCTCAAACTCTTGAGCGAGCTCTTAACCAACTGAGCCACTCAGCCGGCCCTCCCTGACTTCTTTTTAATAACAAATACTGGTGAGTTCCAGGGGCTAGTAGATGGTTCTATATGGTCTTGTTTTAATTGTGTCTGTACTGATTCTGTTAATGCCTCTAATTTTTCTTTAGAGAGGACCACTGTTCTATCCTTTGAGGCTTGCCGTTAGTCCATTTAAGAGTTAGTCCATTTAGCTCTGCAACAGTGGCCCCTTTGAAAAAGGCTCCTGAGTTTCTGACCTAAAACCCAGTCCCTCTCTTCCTTGTTGGGAGAGGGCTGAATAGGTTGAGTAATCCCCCTAGTTAAATTTTCCTAAACCTCTCCCAGGCTGATATCCTATCTGGCTCATCATCTTTTGACTTTGAGGACTATATTGCCCTGGGGGGATCCAAATCTCTGCCTCCCTTTGTGTAAGTAAATCTCTTCCCCATAGATTAACTGGAATGTCAGCAATTTAGGGTTGTAAAACTCCTTTTTGACCTTCAGGACCGAGGCAGGGGAAAATGCAGACATTCTGGCGTAAACCTGAAGCCCTGCCTACCCCAACAATATTAATGTTAGGTTCCTGTACCTTCCAGTTTTTTGGCAATTCTTGTGAGCTGATGATGGAAACGTCAGCTCCTGTGTCTAAAAGACCTTTAAATTTTCTGCCTTGAATCTCAATTTGACAAACAGGGCGAATTCCTGATACATTTTCTTCTACAAAAATACCTACCTGTCCCATACTTCCGAATCCCCCTGTTCCTCTTTTTTGCATTTCCTTCTTTCCTGGCAGAGTATATGGGAGCAGGAGTAATTGTGCAACCCGTTCTCTTTTTGCTGACCAAGGAACAGATGAGGACATTATAATTTGAATCTCTCCTTCATAATCAGAATCAATAGTACCAGTGTGAACCGTGACTCCTTTCGATGTTAGGCTAGAGTGACTGAGGAGAAGTCCAACAGTATTTGGGGGAATAGGTTCAGAAATTCCTGTTGGCACACATAACGGAGATTTGCCAGGAAGTAATAGAACGGCTTGTGCAGAGCAGATATCTACTGTGGCACTTCCTTCCATGGTGGGGCTTAATTGCTGTACTGAAAGTTTTGGGAAGGGTGCACAGCCTGATAATTCTGAGGTGCTGCCTGGATAGTGTATATGCACCGGTTATTGTCAGGGCCTGGGGTTGCCCCCCCCCCACTCCCGTTTCCCTGAAGCTGAGTGCCAGCATTATGAAAAGCCGACCTGCATGCAGAGGCCCAGTGATTTCCTTTTTGACATCTGGGACATAACCCAGGTTGTCTAGGTTCCACAGGGGCAGAAGTATTAGGCAGACGGGAGCCATTTCTATTTTTGTTTCTGCATTCTTTTCTAGTATGACCAGTTACTCCACAATTGTAACAGTTGCCAGAAAACCTTTTCCGACGAATCTTAACTCCGGCCATGGCTTGAGCTAACATATTGGCTTTATACTGCTCCATTCCAACTCACTGACACAAACCAATATAACCAGTCAGATCAGTTGTTTCTTTCATATGTCCAGTAGCCCTTTTGCAATCATCATTAGCATTATCATAAGCAAGAATTTGTTGAATTACCTCAGCAGCTTGTGAATTATCAACCTGTTTTTTTATAGTATCCTGTAGACGAGCCACAAACTCAGTGTAAGGCTCTGTAGGACCTTGAAAATTTTAGCTGAAAGAACTGAGAGTTTTTCCTTCTGTTTCTATCTTCTCCCATGCATTTAAACAAACCCTTCTTAGCTGTGCCACGGCCTGATCAGTCATGCCTATCTGCTGGTGCATACCATCCCAATCACCTCTTCCTAATAACTGATCCTGAGTAATAGCAATATTATGAGCCTGATTATGTCTGCTCTTGGTCTCTGCGCCATCAGTCCACCAAGTTTTGAATTGTAAAAACTGAACAGGCGAGAGACTGGTCTGAGCCACAGCTTGCCAATCAACAGGAATTATTTGATGTCCATCAGCCAAATTATGGATGATGCCCATGGTGTATGGCAAATTAGGACCATACTGTGTTATTGCTACTTTTAATTCCTTAAGAATCTTAAAAGGCAAAGCCTCATATTGATACTCATAAACTCCATTTGGATGTTGGTCATTAGCTCCTGGAGCAACTCTCTCATAAATAATGGCTGGAAAGTCTAAATCATCTAAGTCACCTTCCAGTCTTGCCTGTTGTATACCTCTCTCCACTGCAGAAAGAGGGACCCGCGCTTTTCCAAAAGATGTGCGGGCCTCAGGAAGTAACAGATTATTCCTTCTGGCCTGAGACAATGACGGATTATGCTCTTGGGCTGTAACTGATGGAGAGGGGGAAGGCAAATGAGTCAATGGAGGGGTTGGAGGCAGAAACTCCTCCAACGATGGATACAAGGGCTGTGGAACTACTGTAGGTGCTTCCACAGATTCCTCCTGTCTCCCATCTGGTTCCCTTCTTTCTTCCCTATCCTCTAGCCTAGGATTATCTTCCTTCTTCCCCTCATCCTCTGTGTCAGTTTGTAAAGACTCTAAAACTGACCGAATCAGTCTCCAAGTAGCCCAAATTGTTACTGGGATAGAAACCCCTTCACGATGTAACACATGGAGATCTCTACCTATTCTTTCCCATGTTCTTAAATCTAACGTCCCCATATTAGGGAACCATGAGGAATGTGTTTCATTTATCCTTAAAAATTCTTCTAATTTCTGATCTGAAACTCGTGCTCCCCCAGCCCTAAGAAGCTGCTTAAGCAGGCAAATATAGGGCTGATATTGGCTTTCAGTATTCCCCAGTAAAAATAGAAAAAGAAAAAAGTTTCACTCAAACTTCATTCAGATGCCCATCTGGCAGCGTCCCTCGCGGGACTTCAAGATCCATCTTGGCTATGGTGCACCCGTATAAACCCTGGGCCTGGTTGACGCCGCTAAGTGCCAAGTCACCGTTTTGCCTTAAGACGCGACCATGTAATCACACATTAGGACCCAAACAAGTTCTCTAGCCGAAGCCTTGGAACTATACTCACACACTCATACTCTTTGATACAAAAGTTTTTTAGTGAATTCTCCTTTACCCTGGTTAAATTCTCCGGAAACTTCCTTACCTCCTTGTCCGGTAATTGTTGCGACACCTCCCGGGCCCTTTCACCGTTATTTCTCCTTCAGCTTCGACTCGTAGTCGTCCTTCCCTCTCGGGCCCCATGTTGGGCGCCAGATGTTGCATCCCGCAAGACAAGAGCAGTGGGAAATAAGAAGGGGCAGCGAAGGGTTAAGAAAGAAACAATATCCAAGAGTTAAATGAAAGCGGGCCAGGGGACTCCTCTAGGACTGAGCCCTGAATCAGGCCAATGTGTAGCTTTTATTGATACCTCAACCAGGAAGTGGGATTGTTTTTTCCAGGTCTGTGAGTCTCATGCCTAAGAACTTGCGTAAGGCAGATTACCCATGCCTGTAGGCTGCCATTACCGAAAGTCCCATTTGGTTCCAACAAATGCTATGCCTTCGAGCACACACACTTATGACCCTGGGAGATAAAGTCGTTATGCTAAAAACTCACTAATAAAGATTCATCTCTAAACCTACTGATAAGGGGATTGGGAGTCAACTGATATCATTCCATCAGGTCCCAGCTTTCCAGGATGCCCCCTGAGGAAGCTTTACAGGAATCATTCCTCCCGGTCTCATGGGGTTTGAGACACCTCCTATCTTTTAGGAATCGGCGTGGGGGAACAGACGGCTGGGCAGCTGCGTGGCAACAGCTGCTTCTCTTGCAGTTACTTTCATGGCATTTCTCAGCCAGATTTATTATTTAAACACATCCTTGATGTGCATTTTTGTTTTTGTTTTATTTCCCATGTAATAAATGTTCACATTTGTTTTTCTCAAAGTATGGAAAATTAGATCAATTCCACGTAGACTGTTTTCACGTGGTTGATGAGTCATTTGTTTTCTTTTCCAGCGGAGTTTAAGAGAGCAGTGAAAGTAGCCACAGGACAGGAGCTCTCTGACAACATTTTGGACACCGTGTTCAAGATCTTTGACTTGGATGGCGATGAGTGTCTTAGTCATGGAGAGTTCCTTGGAGTGTTGAAAAACAGGATGCATCGAGGTTTATGGGTAACATATTTTGACTTTTTAAATCACCATGTGTTTACATGTAATTAAATGGATGGTGTTAAACCTAGAACTTGAGCAAATGTATCATCTTAAATGGAGTTTTCATCATTTATAAAGAGATATCTTTTAAAATGGGATGGGAATCTAACATTTTTCTTTGCTTTTTGTAAAAAGATCTGAATCTAATCAGAAAGCACTGTTCAGAAATCATAGCCTATAATTTTACTTTGGGCTCTGTAGTTAAAAACACCTAGATTCAAATCCCAGCTTTATCATCTTTAATGGCTGAATCTTGCAAAGCTACCTAATTTTTCTGAGCCACAGATTCCTCATCTGTACAATGAAGAAACTAATAGAATCTACCAGAAAGAATTATGAGAATTAAGTGCAAAATACTTAATATAGTGGCTGAGACACTTGCAGTAAGTGAGCTGTCATTATTCATTCAGACTCACCTATTGGTCTGAAACTGGGACAGATCAAACCCAGAGTGTAGTTAGATGAGAGTCTGCTGGAAACAATCTAATGAAAGCTGTGTGCAGGTTGGAAGCTTGGGTCCAGAGAAAGCCTCATCGTAAATAGGCAGCTAGGCCAGAAGAAAGGGAAAGAGAAAATACAGTGGACTCACAAAAACATATTTATCTATGACTTAGAAAAGCACATTCATTTCCTGCTGCAAACATTGTTGATGGAAAATGAACAAATGTGATTCCCATTAGCTAACATATCTCACAAGCTTTGTAGGCACTCAGCACATCTTAGTTAATGGTTGCATTCCTAGGAATTAAACCAACCTTTGCAGTTCAGTTTGATGTACCCAGTAGCCTCTTTGCCATTTCTCAAAAGACATTAAAGAGAAGAGTTGTAAATCAGCAGTAGGAAAAAACACATACAGAGAGAAGCTAAAATAGACTTTGGTGTCTATTTGGTGGACTTCTAGCATTGCTGTGCTGCTGTGGTCACCAGGGTCCAAAGTTTTCCTAACTTCTACATTCTCGTGGAGTTGAGAGGAATAATAATCACACAGTGCTTTTCATTCACAAAGCACTTAGTGAAGTATATGATTTCTTAAGGCTTCTCATCAAATGTATTGTGAGCTTTTTAGCTTTAGCCAAGGTTAAATCAAAGTTTTAGGCTTATAATTTGTATCCCACAAAGCTAAATAAAGTTCACCAGGAAAAAGAAAACATTATAAAGTATTATAAAAGGAAACATCATGAAATAGTTACATTTTAAAGCCATATATGAAAAATGGTCACCCAACGTCTTCCTTATCTTTTGGGGAGGAATCTCCATTCTCGTATGGTCACCCTGCAGATAGTCTTACATCATGTTCATTTTCTGTCTCTTACCCTTATTGGACGGTCCTGTTGCAATTGTCTTTCACAACCTAATCCACTGGGGTAGTATTGGAGGAGTGTGGGAAGTAAGCAGTAACATAGCACACAGGAATCACATTTAACCTTGAAGAGACTGACCCCTAATGTTTACTTTCGGTGAACAGGTACCACAGCAACTAAGTGTACAAGAATACTGGAAATGTGTGAAAAAAGAAAGTATTGGAGGAGTAAAAGAAGTCTGGAAACAAGCTGGGAAAGGTCTTTTGTAGGAGATTTTGGATTACTTTAAGTACCAGATGTTTACCTTCTTAAGTCTTCACTGACTTTTTTTTTAATATAAAGATGCTTTGTGTTTGCTTTCTGATTCAGTAATATATTAATAAGATTTTATTAATGAACTTAGTAAAAAGAAAAGACAATATGCTTTTACAAAAACAGATTCTGTTTGGGGCCGGCCGAGTGGCTCAGTTGGTTAAGAGCTCGCTCAAGAGTTTGAGCTCTGAGCAACAGCGATTTGAGTCCCAGCCCAAGCTGAGCAGCTGCTGAGCTGCCAACAGGCGGCAGGATGGCTCAGCTAAAAAAAAAAAAAAAAAACCACCAGATTCTGTTGGAAGGCCTAGGATTGAAGTAATGCTTTGTACTTTGATAAGATGGAAAACCTAGTTATTCACTGATTTCTTAGCTACAGTAGCATAGTATGCTGTCTGGAGGGGTAAGCAGTAATTATAGAAACAAGTAACTAACATACAGGCCAGTATCAATTCTATAAGTTCTGATGCTCCTCGCAGGCAAATTAAGTTAATATTTCAGGTTTTCTCATGTCTGTCTTATGCCTTATATTAGTTGTCTTTAAAATAACATGTAAATTTCCGTATTCTATCTGGAAACAATAAAGTATTTACAAAGTTGCAAAAATTACTGAGGCACATTTTGTTTTACATCTTATGAAAAAAACACATTATTTTTAAATGTAAATACTTTCATCCATTGCCAACCTCATTAGTTCATATTCTTAAAAATTAATGTAATTGGGAGAATCCTGATCACAAGATCAGAGTGTCTTGTCTTTTTTGGGGTTGTATGTAAATGTTTAAAATGCCATTTAGAGGGCCGGCTGAGTAGCTCAGTTGGTTAAGAGCTCGCTCAAGAGTTTGAGCTCTGAGCAACAGCGATTCGAGTCCCAGCCCAAGCTGAGCAGCCGCTGAGCTGCCAACAGGTGGCAGGATGGCTCAGCTAAAAAATAAAAATAAAATTAAATAAATAAATAAATAAATAAATAAAATGGCACTAGAAATTAATTGACATTAAATATATAAAATGGTATATTTTTTAAACATTGTAAATAAAAATTATTTTTAAAACATGCTTCTCAAATAAGAATATTGCAAATATTGAAAACATGTTTCACTCCCTGGTAGATAGGTGGTCCCAAGATGGGGCAGGGAAGGCACAGAGGAACCTGGAACATATGGTGCCTAGAAAAAAGGTGCTCAGAAAACAATGGGGACATGTCAAACTTGTGATAAGGATGCCCTCTGGCCACATTTGGTGTCATTTGAGCATCAAGGTGATTTATGTCAGTTACGGACTGTAACCTATGGAATAAAATAAGAAATGTGATCTTACACTGAAAATGGGTTGATTACTAGGGCAAGGAGAAACTCTCCCTTACGGTTGTTAAAGGAAAAGGCCTTGAAATATGGCAATCTGCTAAATCGGAAGACTCTTATAATTTAATGCTTGAAACTGACAAGTGGTAAAAGTTGCCCATCAACAGATAAATGGGAAAGCAACATGTACGTACACACAATGGAATATTTTTCAGCCATAGAAAAAAATGAAGTTCTGGCATGTGCTACAACATGGATGGACCTTGAAGGATGTTATGCTGGTGAAATAAGCCAGACACAAAGCACTGATACTGTATAATTCCACTTACATAGGTACCTAGAATAGGCAACTTCATAGAGACAGAAGGTGGGTTTGATGTAACCAGGGGCTGGGGAGGAAGGAGAATGGACAGTTGTTGCTTAATCACTACAGAATTTTGGTTTGGGGTGATTAAAAATTTTGGAAATACATAGGTCTGATGGTAGCACAACATTGCGGATATGATTAATGCCACTGAATTGTACATTTAAAAATTATTTAAATGGCAATTTTTATGTTATATAGATTTTACACAATTTTTAAAAATTAGTAATGTAAGATACCAAAAAAGCGCCAAATTGTACCCTTTATATGGGTAAACTATACAGCATGTGCATTGTATCTTTAAGAAGCTATTTTTTAAAATATAATGTATAATATAGACAAGGTTAACCAATGGGTGATAGGCTGAGAAAAAGTAGAAATGTTAAAAGCCAACAAGGGATTAATATCTAGGTCAGTGGTTCTCAATCAGGTGAAACCCAGTTTACCCATACACACTACCACCACCATTTCTTTTTTAAATTTTATTGGGAACAGCCATGGTCATTTGTTATACATTGCTTTCATGCTACAATGGCATAGTTGACTCTTTTTTGGAGAGGGAGCAGCTCACGGTGGCCCATGCCCAGGATGGAACTGACAACCTTGGTGTTATCAGCACCACGCTCTAACCAACTGAGCTAACCAGTCACGCCACTGCCACCATTTTAAAAAAAATATTTTGTAATGCTCTTTCTACTATCCTGAAATGAAACTCATAGATAACATAACTTTACACACATATTTTAAAAAATAACACAAGGCACTAACATATATAAATAAAAATGTATAATAACGTAACATGTTATACACACACACACACAAACACACACTCAGAGGGTGCCAAAAAATGTATACACATTTAAGAAAGGAAAAAACTTAATTGTAATAATATATACCAATAACAAGAGGTAAATACATGTCACGTTTGACTTCTGGAATTACAAGAGGTTCTCAAAGTGGTTACCATCAGCATCCAGACACTGCTGATTACAGGGAACTACTGCTTGAGCATAGATAACATCTCTTAAAATGTGTATACTTTTTTTTTGGCACCGCGGTATGCGTAACAAAAAACAAATGAGGAACTCTGGAAAAATAAGCAGTTAAAACGGATCTTGGAATTTCGCCAAGGGGAAGCGAGGTAGTGAGCAGGATACGGACCTGACTGGCTAAGGAAAACACTCGCTCACTAGTAACCAGAGAAACAAAACAACAAGGTACCAATTTAGGCGTATCAGATTGGCAAACAATGGGAATCTGATAACACCGAACATTCGAGTTGACGCAAGGAAATAGGATATCTCGGCGGCTGGTAGAACAATCTGGCCGTCTTTACTGAAATTAGGTACTTGGTCAGCCTGTGACAGGCCTCTCCTGGACAGACACCCCCAGAGAACCAGCTCAGTCTACGCAAGCCCGTGGGTGAGCCCATCCCAATGTGGACCGTCGGGGTCGTAGAGGACCCACGTGTCCGTCTGTCACTGGGAAACGCGGCCAGTGAGTGCTGTGAGTACTAGGTAGGATTACAGCTGTAAACTGGAACATGGACAGATCGAAATATAATAATGAGTTTAAAACAAACAAAAAAATCAGTGTCAAATACATTTGTGTGTATAAAAACATAGAAAAACCACAGTTGGCAGAGGGGAAGAGGGAAGCACGGCCATGGAGAACAGAAGGGGAAACAATAGTGAAACAAAAGGAAACGAGAGAGCTACTCTACTGCTCACACCTACGAGGACGGGGTACCTCAAAATGAGGCGTCTGACTAACGCAACTCAGTGCACTGGAGGTCCAAAATAAAGCAAGACAGTAACCACCTAAAGGATCTCATGTATGCAACACCACCACCTAGCGAAGTGCCTTCATGTCATCATTGGCACCCTCTGTATATTAATTAATATATCCAAAGAAAATATATCTCATGATCTTACATAGGACTTCTCTTCAGAAACCATGCAAGCAAAAGAATGGAATGAAGTATTTAAGAATCGAAAAGAAACCCCACCAACCTAGAACTCTATATCCAGCAAAATTTAAAGAATTTTCCCCGGGGAAGTACAGGCAAACTGCAAAATCAGAGTTTGATGCAAATTATGAATATTAGGGCACAGACAAAGGCAGCCGAGGACAGATGAGGCATTACGTTTTATTTAACAGAAATTGCATGTCTGCAAAAGCTGAGGTGCAAATTGACACCAATATCATAAAATAAATGAGACCCGAAGATGAGCTGCAGGGAGAAAAACGATATTGAGAAAAATTGAAAGAATCCTGCAAACCCTTGGAGGTGGCACCACAGCGCATTTAAAATAAAAGAACGAAACACTGCACAAGTCTTCCACTAGATGGCACTCGTGCTTTTCTAAAATGTTTTATCTTCCTTGAGCACAAAGCATGATCTTGAACAGAAAACACCAAGCAAATATACAGAAAATTACAGACCGTGTCACAGATGACTTCCTTGTTAAAGAAGCAGCATGGGAGACTTTGGACTGACATCCCTGAGCTAAGTATCCAGCAGCTCTTAGGGAAATGAACACGGCGTTGGCACACTTACTACTAACATGCAATTCACGTTTGGTGCGTTCAGTGAGGCAGGAAATGAATCTTTGGACTCTAGGCAGCACGTTGTAATGGGGTGGGTTATTTCTTCAGCAGCGTAAATATCAAACATGATGGAAACCTGCTCTGTTCCATGTGCTCTGCTAGCCGCTAGCCTTCCTTCTCTGACAGTCTTCCCTCTGAGGGTGAAACAGGAGAAAATATTGTGCTTATAACATAAATCTGCATTTACATCATATGTAGACAGTCAATATTGGGTAGAAAAGCATTAATTAATAACTGCTTTATGGTTTGTACAGAGTGTCGTACAAGCTCCCCCCAAACTATAAAATGCTGCAGTCCAAACACAATTAACGGGATGCTCACTGCAGCATCATTTCAAACAGTAAAAAGTTGGAACTAACTCGACTGTCCCATGAAAAGGAATAAATACAATGTACTACAGTTGTGCTGAGATGCTAGGCAGCTGTCAGCATCAAGTTACACGGTGTTGCTAGGCTGCTGCCTCTGTCTCAGTACCTCCATGCACATTTGCCTGTGCTGCAGGCAGGACCCCACGAGCCCATTTCCGGTGTGTAGGCTCTGCAGAGATGGGCAGCACAGGGTGTGCTCCCATCGGCCTGCTGTCTGGCCACTGTCCCAGTCACCGCCACACTCCAGCAGCAATTGGTGCCAGTCCCCCGTGCTTGCTGTTGTTGGCGGTTGGCAGTGCCAGAGCAGCTCACTGTGTCTTCCTGGAGAACCAGCACCGACTGAGCAGGACGAGGCCTTTCCTCCGAGCTGCAACCTCTTTTCCTGATGCTCCCAGCCTTCCTGGGAGCTCTCCCTGCAGGTACATTCCCTGAGTTACC